CAGATGAATGTCCATTTTGTATCTGTGTATTCAAAATGGTTAGGATAGATATATAGTTACATTCTCTTAATGAATAGAGGGATTTATTCTAATAGTGTTTGTAAATAGGATATCATGTCTGCATCTTATACAGTAAATAACCACTAGGAAGAGAGTATGCAATGTGTTAATTATATAAACTGTCCTACCAATTTGGTTTGAAACTGTCTCATTGTTATTTCTCAATAAAATTATGGAGAAAAAATTAAAAAAAAAATAGAAAAGACCCACTATTCCTGGAGAAGCAAGATTAACTCAGTCTGTGAGAAGGCATTAGAGAACTGTTCAAGTCAGCTGCCACAGCTTGCCCTTGTCTGAGCCTGCCGGAGATTTGGAGGGCCTGACTGCATCCACTATCCACTCCTGATTTCCCAGAAGCCTCTCAGGAACCATACCTTTCTGATGTTTTACACATGCTGAACAGCCTCTCAGTACAGGATAACCATCCCAGGCTCACCGAACACATATGGTGAAATTTTTTAAAAAGACCATAATTTATACTTAATATTTTCCAGAAGCTATATATAAGTCCTGGAAGGTGTTATAAATCATAGTTATTGCTTACATGTTTTTAGTATTTTATTTTTATATATTTGAATTTTCACAATTTTATAAGGTATGCTACTCTCATTTTACATATGAGGAAATTAAGGCACAATAACTTGATTGCACAGCTGTGAGTTGGGAGGGTAGAAGAGGAGCCCAATCAGTCTGTGTCTTGGTATTTACTGTTGACGGTGACACTGGACTGCCTTGCTTGCCCAGCACACCATCACTTCAAATTATAATTCTCTTTATCTGTATCTATATCCACAGTCAAAAGTGTTCAGTTTGAAATGGCTTTCACAAGATTACTGCAACATGGACAAGCATGCATTGAGCTTCTAGAAACTATTTATTTTGATTTAAAAATGTAACAATGATGATGAGATTATAGCAACTGATTGGAGGAATTTCAATGTTATCTGTCTACCACTTAGAATTTCTACTCTGTACTGTAGTAAGTAGCTTTTACTTATTTTTCATTTTAAAGCATGATTTGCTAAGTATGTGTCAGTGCACACATCTCTGACTTTGTCTTATGGATGAAAATTTGACTTCAATTGCTTATCCTTCCTGATAGCTGTTTCAGTGACAAACAACTGGGTTGTGCTTTTTCAAGAACATGATCATTAAGTTTAGGAAACATTATCCAAGTATAATAAAAGTAGAAATTAAACAAATAAATAAATACAGTGACTATCTCATTCACATTATTAGTTCCATATCAGTATGGCACTGCTAATATAAAAATAAAATCTAATTTTCATAAAATTGGTACAGTGCTATGAAAAATACTCAAAACCTGGATGTTGTAAACTGACTTGTGTAGACTGACTGGGACGGCTAAAAGTTATCATTTAATATTGTTACATGGTAACACTCTTGTGTGGAGGACCAAATAATTTGGAAAGTGTATTTATTACAATTAATTGAAAAATTGAAGAATGTTCTTTAAGAATATGGCAGATATGGCATCAATCAATGCCAAACACAAATATGTCAGATAAAGGCAATTTCTTTCTCCTTTTTTTTTTTGTACTGGAAATCAAATTCAAGACCTTGCTCTTGCCAGACCACTGAGTTATATCTCTGGCCCAATTTTTCTTTCTTTTATCTCCTACACAGCTGTCACACTGAAGGTTTTGGGACCACTTTATTAACATCAACATAAGGCTAAGACTAAATTTGAGTAACCACTTGTTAGGACTACAGGCATGAAACACAATTATTCCAGTAATGTGTGGATAATACATTACAGCAGAGAATAAGTCATCTGTTCCTAGATGAGCTCGAAAGGGTCAGCCCAGGATGAAGGATGGGAAATAAACATAGCCATTCCAAATGATAGCTTCCAATAATGCCATTGTGGATATGCAAGACAGGATGAGTCAAAAATAAAGCTTTGAGAGTTCTCTGCATGGTCACAAATGAAGCAGAGTTGAGCCATGGTGCTGTATCATATGTAACTTCCACAACCATGTCTTCAACACCATACTTCAGAAGGTGAAAGGTAATTAAAATGTATCATGTTCTGTTGTAACCCAGACTGTATGTTACTCCTAGGCAGCCTGATGAGGATTCCATCTTCAGAATAATAGTTTTAGACAAGTCTTTTTAGTTATAGAAAACATAAATATATTGTAGGTTGGCTGTTGGGTGTATATTCATTAAAAAGTGGAAGAGTTAGAACAAGAATACAAATAAATAATGGTAACACTGAAGTAAAGAATATAGGTAGATAATGATGAATATAGAAGATCACAGTGTGATGTCATGTTCTTGGACTTTTATTTGTCTCATAGTCACCATAGTTGGCAAGTCTTAGTGAATCCTACTAGCAAAGCCTATAGTACAGTGAAACCTACCTAAGAAATGACAAGGTATGGCTAAAATGAAAAAGTGTGTGGATTCAACATCAGGCCTGAAAGTCCAGAAATTTAAATAGTACCAACCCACAGCTGCCACTAACCAAATCTTGTCTGGTAATATGCTTATTTTTCCATTTTGAAAGTATATTTACTACAGTTAATTGAAAAAAATTTTGACTGACTTTGGGGGAGAAAAAAAAAGAGGGTCATTTGACCTAGAATTTAATAGCTATTAATTATATTAGAAGTACAGGTCTCAACAAAATACCACAATTAAAAATCAAATCAGTTGTCCTTTTATTAACTAGCTCTTTTTCATTATTATTTTTATTAGCTAACTCTTAAACCCAACTTTATTTTTTTTTCTTTAAAAGGTAATTAAAATCTCACAGACAATAAGCTCTTAAAACTGAAAATCAATTATTTTTCAAAGGAAGACTTAAATCCAGTCAAAATTTGCATAATGAAAGAAAAGATGGAGAAATATTCCTTTGTAAAGTACAGAAATATTTATTCTACAGCTGCTAATGTAAGGAACCATAAAGAAAGTCTTTCATAAATTGGTTTACTACTTTCTTTTAGCATATCACAGGGCAACCTCACCCTGCATCTCCCAGTAGCAGCTAAACTGGCTGATGGTATTTTCACAAAGTTCCATCCAGCCAGAAAAATGATTTAGTTATCAAAGAAGAGAGACTATGGGGGATACACAGGGTGGAAGTTGAAAAATGGAATTAAATTTCAAAAACCATAGTAAATCTGAGTTTTGCAAATAGTTCACAGAATTACTTGTATTTACTTTGAGAGAGCTATTTATTTAGTTTTTAAGAGATAATTTCTGAATTATAACTGTATGCATTAAAATCCAGGGTTGGTTCCATTGCACAGCTTTTCAGAATGTGGTGAATTATCTCACTCATGCTGTTTTTATAATGGAATTGGAAAGGAAGATTGAATCTTTCCTTTTCTCCTTTCCCCTTTCCCTTTTCTTGCCTGTCTGCCTGCCTGCCTGCCTGCCTCCCTGCCTGCCTGCTTTCCCTCCCTCCCTTCTTCTCTCCCTCCCTCCCTCCCTCCCTCCCTCTTTTCTTTCTTCCTTCTTCTCTTTTTCTCTCTCCTTCTTCCACTCCTTTTACTCTTTTTATTAAAAATAGTTTAAATTTTTTATTTCTTAAATTTTATGTATTTATTTGTCATATAAAACATGATATATATATATATATATAATATGAATCATTAAATATAGACAATTGCCATAGTCAGTACCTCAAATTTATCATTTTGTGGTATAAATGCTTAAGATCTAAGTATTAAAATCTTGTAGGATTTTTCAAGAAAACAATATATTGTGGTTAATTGTAATCACCAGCCTGTACAACAGATCTCTCTTTTTAAGTTTTTATTTTTCATTCATACATGTTTATAGTATATAATGATTACATTCCCTGCAGTGACTTGGTATATTTACATAACATAATCTCAGTTATTTTTTTCTGCCCTTGTCCCTTGCTTTTGAGTTGAATTTCTTATCAATTTTTAAAAAATGTATTTGGTACAGGGTCAGCAGCATCTACAGGGTCTCACTACATAGATCACACCCCTAGTGATTCTCCTGTTTTCAGCCTCCCAAGCACTAGGATTACAGGCGTGTGCCACCATACCCAGTCTCAGTCACCATCTCAGCACGCCCTGAGGGCGGGGCTGGCACCACATGCCCTGGATTGAGGATCAAACCCCAGCTGCTGCGCTCTGCTTAAGTGGATGTTTTAGTCCGCTTAGCTATCTGGCTGGCTCTAACTTATCAATTTTTGATATTAACTCCTTATTGGATAATGGTTTGGAAGTGCAGTCACTGAAAATGCAGATTATCTCTTCACCATATTCATTAATTTCTTTACTGTGCAGAAGCTTTTCAGTTTGGTATAATCTTATTTGTCTACTTTTACTTCTGTTGCCTGTGTTTTGAGGGTCATATCCCCAAAACTTTTTGTCCAGACCAGTGATGTGAATCTTTCCCCCTTCTTTATGGTTTCAGGTCTTAAAGTATTTAATCCCTGTTGAATTTCTATTTGTAAATAATGTGAAATAAGGGCCTAATTTAATTCTTATGTATGTGGCTACCCAGTACTGTCTTACTTTTTATTTTAAAAGGAATAAAAAAATGAAAATGATACAGAATTTTGAAACAAAATGATAAGAAATTAACAATGGTTATTATATTGCATATTGTTATCTTCAAAGTAGTTGCTCGGGTTACCAGATGTAGGCATGCAAAATTCATCAAACAATATAAGCACTGACAGTTCTTTTCAATGAACTAATAGAAATTAGTACCATTACCGTATCTATATATCTCTAGATATATCTTTACCAATGTCTAGATCTATATCTATATATTATCAATATCATCTGTATCTATATCTCTTCGTTTTTTTTCTTTTCCTCCATCCCAGTTGTTCTCTTTTCCCCCATCTAGTTGTTCTTTCCCAGGGAGGAGTTTCTTTCCCTTTCACAATATCTATTTTACCTTTTGGTTCTCATTTACTCTTTAAGTTAAAAATCTGGCACTTCCTGAATGTGCATGATATCCTTTTGCAGGGGCCATGCTAGTCTTCTCTGTATCATTCCAATTTTAGTAGAAGTGTTTGCCGAAGTGAGCTCCCCAGTACCATTTATTGAAGAGACAGTCTCCTTCACATTGCATGTCTCTGACATGTTTTTCCATTATGGTAAATGTGTAGGCTCATTTCTTTGCTATCTGTTTGACTATTTGTTTATGTGTTTATTTTTATGCCAATATGTGTTAGTGCTATGGCTTTATGCTAGATTTTTTCAAATCAATAGTGCAGAACTTCCTGCTTAGTTCCTTTTGCTTAAGATTGCTCTGACCATCTGAGGCATTTTTTGGTCTCACATGAATTTAAATGCTTTAAAATTTTTTTCTGTGAAGAATATCACTAGTATTCTTAAAGGCATTGCATAGACTCTCTAGATCTCTTTGGATCATATGGACATTTTAACAATAGTAGTGCTTCTAATCTATGAGCATATCTTTTCATTTATATCAGTGTCTTTAGTTTTTAGTCCAGTTACCTCTCCCCTCCTTGGTTAAATTTATTTCTAAGTACTTTTATATTATGGTAGATGGAATTGTTTTCTTAATTTCCTGTGAGTGTATATAGTAATGATTTTGCTTGTTGATTTCATATACTGCAACTTTATTGACTTTTTAAATTAGTCTTGACTTTTTTGTTAACAAATACAAAATAGTGAAAGAAAAAATAAACAGTATTAGAAATGATACAAAATTTTACTGAATGAATTAATAGAAATTCAACAATGTCAGCCATTTGAATGAGTCATGACAATGGTTGTATTTCATGATACTATTTTCCAATTAGTTGTTCAGGTTACCAGATATAAACGTGTAAGATTGGTTTAAAGAAAAAACAAAACAATAACAAAAAAGTTGTAAGTACTTTCAATTTTCTATATATAAGATTAGGTAATATGTAAATAGGGATAATTTAGCTCTTCTTTTCCAATTTGGATATCATTTCTTTCTTTGAGTTGCTTAATTGCTCTATTGTGTTGAATGGATATGATGAGTATACCTTGTCATGCCCTAGATCATAGACAAAAAGTTTCCAACTTTTCTCTGTTGACTATGCTAGTTGCAGGCTTGTCATATACAGTCTTTATTATTTTGAAATGCATTCCTTCTATATCTAATTTGTTGAGACTTTTAATCATGAAAAGACATTGAATTTTGACAAATACTTTTTTTTCTGAATTTGAGATGACTGTATGGTTTATGTCATTCATTTTGTTAATAGGCTGTTTCACATTTACTGCTGGGTGTGTATGTTGCATTATTGGGATAAATCCCACCTGATCTTGTGAATGACTCCTTTAATGTCCTGTTGAATTTAGTTTGCCAATATTTCATTCAGGATTTTTGGCTCTATGTTCATCAGAGATAGTGGCTTGCAGTCTTTCCCTCTCCTCTCACCTCCCTTCTCCTCCTATCCCATCCCACACCTTTTTTCTTTTTTCTTATCAAGCTTTACTGGTAGAGCAATTCTGGTCACATAACATAAATTTGGAAGAATTTTCCTATTTTCAGCTTTTATTCTTTGAGAATTGGCATTAGTCCTTCCTTTTTTAAAAAACGCATTTAGTACAGGGTCTACAGGGTCTAGAGGGTCTCAATACCTAGGTCAGACTCAGTGATTCCCAGCCTCCCAAATGCTGGGCTTACAGGTGTGCACCACCACTCCCTATCTCAGTGGCCCATCTCGGTGAGTCCCGGGGGCAGGGCTGGCCTGACAGGCAAGGGATCAAGAGCTGTGCTCTGCCTAAGCAGGCCCGTTAGTCCACTGAGCTGTCTGGCCAGCCCTAGCCCTTCTTTAAATGAAAATTTTTAGAATTCAGTGGCAATCAGATCTTAAACTTTAATGGAAAACTTTTTATTACTCATCAGCCTTACTCACCATCGGTTTGTTCAGATCTTTTTTTTTTTTTTTTTCCATGACAAATCTCAGTTTTATATGTCTAAGCATTTGTCCACTTTTTCTAGATTATCCAATTTGTTGACAAATATAAGATGTTTCTGCTGTATCAGTTGAAATGTCTCCTTTTTCAGTTCTGATCTTATTTGAGTCTTTTCTAGTCTAGCTAAAGACTTATTGATTTTGTGCATAAACAACTAAGTTTTATTGATTTTTTTCAACTATTTTCCTAGCCTTTATTTTACTTATTTTCTTGTGAAGTATTTATT